AATGTTGTGAACAGCTTTTCCAGCATTTGTCATCCATGTTCGTAAATGATGTTGTTTAAAGTTAATCAGTGTCCCATAGGAGTTTCTCACTATTTATATAATTTTCTGTTTACAATTTTTTTAATATGTGGCTCTCTTTGAATCTTGTAGTGTTTTTATCATACAACTCTGTGACCTGTTTCACTTTTTTTTTATTACGTGGCATTTTTCGGCCTTAAATTCCATCGTCCATCTATTAGTCTGTGCTAGAGAGATACACAATATTTTTTTTTGTGGTTTATCTTACAAATGATTTATGCGTCTGTTAAAATGTTTATATAACTGTAATTCGTTCTGGCGAGTTATTTATAGAAGCTTTTTTTTTATAGCAAGTGTCGATCCTTGTGGCACACTGCTTGTGACATGACACCGTGAGGACTGCTTGTGACATGACACCGTGAGGACTGCTTGTGACATGACACCGTGAGGACTGCTTGTGACATGACACCGTGAGGACTGCTTGTGACATGACACCGTGAGGACTGCTTGTGACATGACACCGTGAGGACTGCTTGTGACATGACACCGTGAGGACTGCTTGTGACATGACACTGTGAGGACTGCTTGTGACACCGTGAGGACTGCTTGTGACATGACACCGTGAGGACTACTTGTGACACCGTGAGGACTGCTTGTGACATGACACCGTGAGGACTGCTTGTGACATGACACCGTGAGGACTGCTTGTGACATGACACCGTGAGGACTGCTTGTGACATGACACCGTGAGGACTGCTTGTGACACCGTGAGGACTGCTTGTGACATGAGACCGTGAGGACTGCTTGTGACATGACACCGTGAGGACTGCTTGTGACATGACACCGTGAGGACTGCTTGTGACATGACACCGTGAGGACTGCTTGTGACATGACACCGTGAGGACTGCTAGTGACATGACACCGTGAGGACTGCCAGTGACATGACACCGTGAGGACTGCTAGTGACATGACACCGTGAGGACTGCTTGTGACATGACACCGTGAGGACTGCTAGTGACATGGCACCGTGAGGACTGCCAGTGACATGACACCGTGAGGACTGCCAGTGACATGACACCGTGAGGACTGCTAGTGACATGATACCGTGAGGACTGCTAGTAACATGACACCGTGAGGACTGCTAGTGACATGACACCGTGAGGACTGCTAGTAACATGACACCGTGAGGACTGTTAGTGACATGACACCGTGAGGACTGCTAGTAACATGACATCGTGAGGACTGCTAGTAACATGACACCGTGAGGACTGCTAGTAACATGACACCGTGAGGACTGCTAGTGACATGACACCGTGAGGACTGCCAGTGACATGACACCGTGAGGACTGTTAGTGACATGACACCGTGAGGACTGCCAGTGACATGACACCGTGAGGACTGCCAGCGACATGACACCGTGAGGATTGCTAGTGACATGACACCGTGAGGACTGCTAGTGACATGACACCGTGAGGACTGCTAATGACATGACACCGTGAGGACTTCTAGTGACATGACACCGTGAGGACTGCCAGTGACATGACACCGTGAGAACTGCCAGTGACATGACACCGTGAGGACTGCCAGTGACATGACACCGTGAGGAATGCTAGTGACATGACACCGTGAGGACTGCCAGTGACATGACACCGTGAGGACTGCCAGTGACATGACACCGTGAGGACTGCCAGTGACATGACACCGTGAGGACTACAGTGACATGACACCGTGAGGACTGCTAGTGACATGACACCGTGAGGACTGCAGTGACATGACACCGTGAGGACTGCCAGTGACATGACACCGTGAGGACTGCCAGTGACTTGACACCGTGAGGACTGCCAGTGACATGACACCGTGAGGACTGCAGTGACATGACACCGTGAGGACTGCCAGTGACATGACACCGTGAGGGCTGCTAGTGACAACACCGTGTGGACTGCTAGTGACATGACACCGTGAGGACTGCTAGTGACATGACACCGTGAGGACTGCTAATGACATGACACCGTGAGAACTTCTAGTGACATGACGCCGTGAGGCCTTCTAGTGACATGACACCGTGAGGACTGCCAGTGACATGACACCGTGAGAACTGCCAGTGACATGACACCGTGAGGACTGCCAGTGACATGACACCGTGAGGAATGCTAGTGACATGACACCGTGAGGACTGCTAGTGACATGACACCTTGAGGACTGCCAGTGACATGATACCGTGAGGACTGCCAGTGACATGACACCGTGAGAACTGCCAGTGACATGACACCGTGAGGACTGCCAGTGACATGACACCGTGAGGAATGCTAGTGACATGACACCGTGAGGACTACTAGTGACATGACACCTTGAGGACTGCCAGTGACATGATACCGTGAGGACTGCCAGTGACATGACACCGTGAGGGCTGCTAGTGACATGACACCGTGAGGACTGCCAGTGACATGACACCGTGAGGACTGCCAGTGACATGACACCGTGAGGGCTGCTAGTGACATGACACCGTGAGGACTGCCAGTGACATGATACCGTGAGGACTGCCAGTGACATGACACCGTGAGGGCTGCTAGTGACATGACACCGTGAGGACATTTTTCACTCTAATCATTTTTCGCATTTTCATTTCATATAGGAAATTTCTTATCCATTGTAGAAGTTTTACCTCATATTCCTCATTTTTTGCAGTTTACTAATTCGACTTCCATGAGAAATAAAAATCACAAACTTGTTTAAAATATGAATTAATTCTATCTGCGAATTCGCTTTGTTAAGCATCTTATTTTCTCTTATATATCTCTGAATATATTAATAAAAAACACTTAAAAAAAAGTTTTCTAGGCTTCCTGGAGTTTACCTGGAGAGAGTTCCGGGGGTCAACGCCCCCGCGGCCCGGTCTGTGACCAGGCCTCCTGGTGGATCAGAGCCTGATCAATCAGGCTGTTACTGTTGGCTGCACGCAAACCAACGTACGAGCCACAGCCCGGCTGGTCAGGAACCGACTTTAGGTGCTTGTCCAGTGCCAGCTTGAAGACTGCCAGGGGTCTGTTTGTAATCCCCCTTATGTATGCTGGGAGGCAGTTGAACAGTCTCGGGCCCCTGACACTTATTGTATGGTCTCTTAACGTGCTAGTGACACCCCTGCTTTTCATTGGGGGGATGTTGCATCGTCTGCCAAGTCTTTTGCTTTCGTAGTGAGTGATTTTCGTGTGCAAGTTCGGTACTAGTCCCTCTAGGATTTTCCAGGTGTATAAGATTTTCGTTGGGATTTTTAACCCCGGAGGGTTAGCCACCCAGGATAACCCAAGAAAGTCAGTGCGTCATCGAGGACTGTCTAACTTATTTCCATTGGGGTCCTTAATCTTGTCCCCCAGGATGCGACCCACACCAGTCGACTAACACCCAGGTACCTATTTGCTGCTAGGTGAACAGGACAACAGGTGTAAGGAAACGTGCCGAATGTTTCCACCCGCCGGGAATCGAACCCGGGCCCTCCGTGTGTGAAGCGGGAGCTATAGCCACCAGGCCACCGGGCCTGTATCTCTCCCGCCTGCGTTCCAGGGAATACAGGTTCAGGAACCTCAAGCGCTCCCAGTAACTGAGATGTTTTATCTCTGTTATGCGCGCCGTGAAGGTTCTCTGTACATTTTCTAGGTCAGCAATTTCACCTGCCTTGAAAGGTGCTGTTAGTGTGCAGCAATATTCCAGCCTAGATAGAACAAGTGACCTGAAGAGTGTCATCATGGGCTTGGCATCCCTAGTTTTGAAGGTTCTCATTATCCATCCTGTCATTTTTCTAGCAGATGCGATTGATACAATATTATGGTCCTTGAAGGTGAGATCCTCCGACATGATCACTCCCAGGTCTTTGACGTTGGTGTTTCGCTCTATTTTGTGGCCAGAATTTGTTTTGTACTCTGATGAAGATTTAATTTCCTCGTGTTTGCCATATCTGAGTAATTGAAATTTCTCATCGTTAAACTTCATATTGTTTTCTGCAGCCCACTGAAAGATTTGGTTGATGTCCGCCTGGAGCCTTGCAGTGTCTGCAATGGAAGACACTGTCATGCTTACATAATGTACAGAGGCCTTGAGGACAGAGATACTATGGGCATATTATGCCTGTATTGTACTCACCTATTTGTACTCATTTACACTCACCTATTTTTGGTTGTAGGGGTCGAGTCTCAACTCCTGGGCCTGCCTTTCCGCTGGCCGCTATACCTATGTCTTTAACTGTCTTTATATATCAAATAAAGGTCAATAAATAGATGTGGTTGGCGTGATATAGAAGTATTTATTATAATGGTTTTCTGTACGAGAGATTTACCAAATTAATAAAGTTCTGCTTTAGAGAGATGCAGTGGCAAGCAGGTGGAAGCTAGGGTGGCAGTCAGAAGGTTCCAGTTAGGGTGGCAGTCAGAAGGTTCCAGCTAGGGTGGCAGCCAGAAGGTAGCAGCCAAAAGGTGACAGCTAGGGTAGAAAGCAGGGATGGTAGCCAAGGATGGCAGGAGGCAGGGATATAAATTTTTTAAAGCTCTGCTGTAGAGAAATACGGTGGCAGCCAGAGGGTGGCAGCTAGGGTGAAAGCTAGGGTGGCAGGCAGACTGTGGCAACTAGAGTGGAAGTCAGAAGGTTGCAGCTAGGGTGAAAGCTAAGGTGGTGACTAGAGTGGCAGCTAGGATGGCAGGCAGAAGGTGGAAGCTAGGGTGGCAGTCAGAAGGTTGCAGCTAGGGTGGCAGGCAGAAGGTTGCAGCTAGGGTGTCAGTCAGAAGGTTGCAGCTAGGGTGGCAGGCAAAAGGTGGAAGCTAGGGTGGCAGGCAGAAGGTTGCAGCTAGGGTGGCAGGCAGAAGGTGGAAGCTAGGGTGGCAGTCAGAAGGTTGCAGCTAGGGTGGCAGACAGAAGGTAGCAGCTAGGGTGGCAGACAGAAGGGTAGCAAGCAGGGCTGGCAGTAGGCATGGATATAAGTGTTTTAAAAGAGGCGGGTGATGGCGTGGTAGTGACGTGAGGCGGCGCCGCGCATGCGCACCTCAGTGTTGGGGTGAAGCTGCTACCACTAAGATGGCGACCAGTAAGAGCCTGGACCAGGTGTTGTGTACAGACTCAGATCACAGTCCTCTCGCTGCCACTGTTGGCTCTCTACACACTCACTTAGCTGCGTCGCCCAAAACCGCAGCAAATGAACCAGCTAATGCTAGTGTTAATGGAGGGATAAACAACAAGGCCACAGTAGTAGGGGAAGGCAGAAGTAACTGCGGTAAAATAGAGCTGAGAGGCCCGGCGGTGAATAGTGGTGCAGTGTTCGCTGGGAAGGTTGTGTCGGGCGTGGGGTGTGGGCAGGGTGTTGGGCAGGTGGTGGAGATCACAGGAGGAGCTCTGGTGGTACACGGAGAGGCGGGTGTTGGCGCCGCCATCCACGGCGGTGCTCAGCTCTCCAGCAGCAGCAGCAAGGGCGCCGCCGCCGCCCTCAAGCCGGTCTATGGGGTGGCCCTGACGCCCATGACAGGCGCCCAGGGCACGCAGGTGGTGAACGGGGGCGTGACAGGGGCGGGCACAGGAGGCGCCCCCCAAGTTAGCCTGCAGGCCCAGCTGGCGCTGAAGGCACTGAGCAAGGTGGTGACAGCGGCGGCCACAGCGGGCCAGACGGCAGTCATCATGTCGAAGCCTGGCACTGTGACTGCCGTGCCCTCCACCGCCACCCCGGGCACTGTGCCCATACCCCAGGGCATGCAGATCATCAACATGCGCCCCGGGCAAGCCATCAAGACCACGCAGGGTGCCACCATCGCCCCCAGGATGATCCTCAACCAGGCACAGGTCCTGCCAGCGGGCATGAGGGCTGGACAACCTGGGGTGAGTGCCCCCCTCACCTGCCAGAGTACATCTCCGACAACCCTGTACACCCCTACACATCCCTGTCAGGTACCCTGCACACCCTTGTGTGTACTCTACACACCCTTGTGTGTGCTCTACACACCCTTGTGTATATTCTACACGCCCTTGTGTGTACTCTACACGCCCTTGTGTGTACTCTACACGCCCTTGTGTGTACTCTACACGCCCTTGTGTACCCTACACATTATTCTGTGTACTATACACCCTTTTGTGTATTCTGCACACCCTTCTGTGTACTCTGTACACCCTTGTGTACCATACACATTATTGTGTGTAAGTTACACGCCCTTGTGTACTCTTCATACCTGTGTGTGTCCCCCACACACCTGTGTACCCAATACACACCAGTGTGTACCCTATACACCTGTGTGCCTACACACACCTTTGTGCACCCTACACACACAACCTGTGTATACCCTACACACACAACCTGTGTATACCCTACACACACCTGTGTGTACCCTACACACACCTGTGTGCACCCTACACACACCTGTGTACCCTACACACACCTGTGTGTACCCTACACACACCTGTGTGTACCCTACATACACCTGTGTGTACCCTAGACTCCCTTGGGAGTACTGTACACAATCATGGGTATGGTGCACACAATTGTGCATGTGCAAAACATCCTTATGTGTTACATACACAGCCTTGTGTGTGCCATACATATCCTTGTGTGTGCCATACACATCCTTGTGTGTGCCATACACATCCTTGTGTGCCATACACATCCTTGTGTGTGCCATACACATCCTTGTGTGTGCCATACACATCCTTGTGTGTGCCATACACATCCTTGTGTGTGCCATACACATCCTTGTGTGTGCCATACACATCCTTGTGTGTGCCATACACCTCCTTGTGTGCCATACACATCCTTGTGTACCATACACATTCTTGTGTGTGCCATACACATTCTTGTGTGTGCCATACACATCCTTGTGTACCATACACATTCTTGTGTGTGCCATACACATTCTTGTGTGTGCCATACACATTCTTGTGTGTGCCATACACATTCTTGTGTGTGCCATACACATTCTTGTGTGTGCTATACACATCCTTGTGTGTGCCATACACATCCATGTGTGTGCCATACACATCCTTGTGTGTGCCATACACATCCTTGTGTGTGCCATACACATCCTTGTGTGTGCCATACACATCCTTGTGTGTGCCATACACCTCCTTGTGTGCCATACACATCCTTGTGTACCATACACATTCTTGTGTGTGCCATACACATTCTTGTGTGTGCCATACACATCCTTGTGTACCATACACATTCTTGTGTGTGCCATACACATTCTTGTGTGTGCCATACACATTCTTGTGTGTGCCATACACATTCTTGTGTGTGCCATACACATTCTTGTGTGTGCTATACACATCCTTGTGTGTGCCATACACATCCATGTGTGTGCCATACACATCCTTGTGTGTGCCATACACATCCTTGTGTGTGCCATACACCTCCTTGTGTGTGCCATACACCTCCTTGTGTGCCATACACATCCTTGTGTACCATACACATTCTTGTGTGTGCCATACACATTCTTGTGTGTGCCATACACATTCTTGTGTGTGCCATACACATTCTTGTGTGTGCCATACACATTCTTGTGTGTGCCATACACATCCTTGTGTGTGCCATACACATCCTTATGTATGCCATACACCTCTTGTGTACCATACACGCCCTTCGTGTGCTGTATGCACCTTTGTGTGTACCATTCACACCCTCGTGTGTGTTGTTCGCACCCTTTTGTGTACTGTTTATGCCATTGCGTGCCAGACACTACCCTGTGTGCTGTGCACATGCTAGTGTGTGCCATACACACCCTTGTGTGCTGTGCACATGCTAGTGTGTGCCATACACGCCCTTGTGTGTGCCGTACATGCCCTTGTGTGCGCTGTACGCACCCTCGTGTGTGCCATACACACCTTCGTGTGCCATCTGTACCCTTTTGTGTGCTGTACATACCCTCTTGGGTGCCTTACACACCCTTGTTTGTACCATACATACCCTCAGATGATTGTACACACCCTTCTGTGTGCTGTACACTTCCTTTTGTGTGCTGTAAGCTCCCCAAACACCTTTGTGTGTGCCTGCAAGCTCATGTGGATGCCTACAAGCCCATATGGGTGACCTTCACAACCTCGTGGGTGACCTTCACAACCTTGTGGGTGACCTTCACATCCTTGTGGGTGGTGACCTTCACAGTCTTGTGGGTGCTCTGTATACATTGTTTTGGGTGCTCTGTGCACACCCTTGTGGGTGCCCTTTGCATCCCTTTGTGCACCATACACACACATTTCTTGTGTGTGGCATACACACCCTTGTGTGTGGCGTACACGCTTTTGTGTGTGACGTACAGGCTTTTGTGTGTGGCATACACACTTTGTGTGTGATGTACACACTTTTGTGTGTGGCATACACACACTTGTGTGTGTGGCATACACACCCTTATGTGTGCCATACTTGCCCTTGTGTGTGCTGTACATCCTTGTGTGTGCTGTACATCCTTGTGTGCTGTACACACTCTTATTTGTACCCTTCACCCATGTTTGGACCCTACACACCCATGTTTGGATCCTATACACCCATGTTTGGACCCAACACACCCTTGTTTGGGCTCTACTCACCCTTGTTTGGACCCTACACACCCTTGTTTGGACCCTACACCCCCTTTTTTGCACTCTACACAGCCTTGTTTGTACCCTGTACACCTTTGTTCCTTACACACTGTTGTTTTCACCCAACACTTCCTGGTTTATATTTTACACATACCTCTGTGCACCAAACGCCCCTTGTTTGTACCCAACATCACCTCGTTTGTACCCAACACTCCCTTGTTTGTACCCAACACCCCCTCATTTGTACCCAACACTCCCTCGTTTGTACCCAACACTCCCTCGTTTGTACCCAACACCCCCTCGTTTGTACCCAACACCCCCTCGTTTGTACCCAACACCCCCTCGTTTGTACCCAACACCCCCTCGTTTGTACCCAACACCCCTCGTTTGTACCCAACACCCCCTCATTTGTACCCAACACCCCCTCGTTTGTACCCAACACCCCCTCGTTTGTACCCAACACCCCTCGTTTGTACCCAACACCCCCTCGTTTGTACCCAACACTCCCTCTTTTGTACCCAACACCCCCTTGTTTGTATTCAACACCTCCTCGTTTGTACCCAACACCCCCTTGTTTGTACTCCACACACTGCACTCTAAACACCCTTGTGTTTACAGTACTCTGCTCATTCTAGTGTGTATCTGCAAACTTTTATGTATATCTAGACACCCTTGTGTGTAGATACTTTCATCTCAAGTGCATCTACACCCTCTAGTATACATGTATTTACACACCGTCTAGTATATCTACACACCCTCTAGAATATCTACACACCTTCTAGTATATCTACATACATTCTAATATTTCTACACACACTCTTGTGTATCTATACACCTTATGTGTGTGCACACTTACATGTATATTTTTTAATCTTTTTTTATTTTTTTTATATAAAACTATTACAGACCTAGCAGATGTCATTGGCATGCTATACAGAAAACCCCAGTTTATGCAAAGGATTTTGGGCAACTTAGGTTAATCTTTTCCCCCAGAATGCAACCCACAACAATCGGCTAACACCTAGGTACCTGCTTACTACTAAGTGAGCTGGGGCAGCAGGTGTAAGGAAAGATGCCCAACTTTTCTAATGTGCCTAGATCAATTCTGGACCCCTCAGTGTGCAAGCTGAGGATGCTGTCAACCAAGCACACCCTCATGTATATCTTCACATCCTCATGTATATCTGTACTCTGTAGTGTATCTGTATATCCTCGTGTGTATCTGCTCACCATAGTGTGCATCCGCACACCCTCGTGTGTATCTGCACACCCTTGTGTGTATCTGCACACCCTTGTGTGTATTCACACACGCTCTTGTGTATCCGCGCACCCTCTTGTGTATCCGCATACCCTCATGTGTATCCACGCACCCTCCTGTGTATCCACACACCCTCGTGTGTGTGTGTCTGCCACACACCCTCGTGTATGTCTGCTGTACACCCTCGTGTGTATCTGCATTGTGTATTTGCTCTCATTTGTGTTCACCCTACACTTCCTAGTGTTTTCCCTACAAACACACTCGCGTTCACCCTACACATCCTCGTATTCACCCTACATACCCTCATGTTCACCCTACATACCCTAGTGTTCACTCTATGCACCCTTGTGTTTACCCTTCACACACTGATGTTCACCCTACATGTCCTCACATGTACCTACATGCTATTGTTTGTACCTTGCGTGCCCTCGTTTGTATCCTACAAGCCCTTTTGTGTATCCTATATTCCCTCGTGTGTATCTTAAACTGTATACAGTATCCTACGTGCCCTTACGTATATTTGTATATTCCTTTGCGTATCCTACACATCCTCGTGTCTATCCTGTACTCCCTTGTGTGTATTCTACACATCCTGCCCACACATTTTAGCCATACACTTGGTCTGTGTATAGGGGTGCTACTGTTCTTTCTGTGTATTTTGTGTCAGTTGATCAGTACTAATCACTTGTATAGTATGTATGGCTTAAGTACTCCTTTTGAATCTGCAATACTGTATTTCCTTATATTCTGCATACTACAAATTGCCATGATGGTTACTTGAGCTACAGTAACTTTTCTTATATATTAATTAAAATTATGTATGGTCATCAGTTGGAGTTTGTTTACTTCTGTAAACTTTTGATATAATCTTTACAACTAATGACCACCATTTGTTCTTGGGACATTTAAAATATAGTATGTATATGTAGGTTATTGTTGCAAACACTTTTTATACAGTACAGTATTTACAGTCATACTTATGGCTGTTGAGTTGTGTTTACATTGTATTATTATTTTAATCATTTGTTTATTTAATTTTTACATTCATTGCCTTTGGTTTTCGTTGCTAGTTATTTGTGCTTTATATATTTTAACTCTCCAACCTAAGTGGTCATTTACAAATCAT